TACGCAGACCTTGTTCCTGTTAAAAAAAAAAAAAATAGCCATGTGTGGTGGTATGCGCCTGTGGTCCCAGCTACTTGGGTGGCTGAAGTGGGAGAATGGCTTGAGCCCAAGAGGTTGAGACTACAGTGAGCCACGATTGTGGCACTGCACCCCAGCCTGGAAGACAGAACAAGACCCTGTCTCATATGCACAAAAAAGGATATTTATTCAATTCTTAACATTTTTTACTTTTCTTCTGGAATTTAATGCCCTAGTTTAAATATGAATTGCTTGTATAATTCAGTAGGAAATGAACAGTTTTTCCTGTATACTTGTTGTAGATGTTCATATTGGTAGATACAGGGTGTGTCATATAAAAGCATGCTTAGAGCAGCACCAGAGCCTGCAAACTATGATCCAGAAATCAAAGGCCAAATTCTGCCTGCACTTCTTTTTTAAATGAAGTTTTGTTGGAATACACCTCATTTGTTTATAGTTGCTTTCCTGCTGCAATTACAGAATTTAATAGTTTGACAGAGATTGTAAAGACCTGCAACGTCTAAATTTTTTAGCATCTGGCCCTTTACAGAAAAAATTGTTGACTACTGGACTAGCACATGAAAACTTGTAAAGGAATACATATCCTTTTTATTTGTTTTTGTACCATTTAATAACAAGAAAGAATACAAAAAGTGTCATTTCAAATAACTCTTTTTGTCTTGAACAGTGAGGAAAACTTGTGTTATTGCTTTACATTTTTAGAAAGACCTTTATATCCTGTAGTAGGAGTTTATGCTTGTATGCAAATCTGTCTACACTGTTAGGTGGATAGTTAGTAAGTTTATGTATCTTTAAAGGAAAATATTTTCTAACGTGTGCTGTGAGATTGACATAAAAAGGAAACAGAATAGAGTTCAGGTGAGTCATTGAAGCTATTATATGCCTGAAAACTACATGAATTGAGGTTAGTCTGAAAGCCCTTACCAGCTTGTTCTTGGCAAGGTTTCCAAACCTCTAACTGTATTATGGCTGTGGATTCATTATCTGTGGCAGACTATTCCCCATGACTGTCTCAAAGATAGTCCCTGGGCCAACTTATGTTTTTTAATCTGTCACATTTACTTTCCTTAAAAAAGTAAAAGAAACTTGTTAGGAAATTAAAAGTGTATATGTGCTGTTATTTTTAAAATTTTTTGGTATCTTCATTTAGTTGTGAAGTATCTGTGTGTGTGCATGTGTATGCACCTTTATGATTTAAAAAAACTGATAGGACTGTGTATACTACTTTCCAAAGTATAGCTTTTCTATAAAACATCTAGTAGAAGGATAATAGGTAATGATGCAATGGTTAACATTACTATTTTCAAAAATTGAAAAGGAATCATCACTTGAAGCCAGTTTGGCATTTTTCTATAAGACATCCTATTTAGAGCAGTGCATCTCTGCTATGCAGTTCTGTGAATTTGAATCCAACAGAGAAGATGTAGCTTTCATACAATTTTCTTCAGTTACAAGAACCATAATCGTTCCAATGAGATGCTGTAAGCCTGGGTCACTTTAATCATTCTGAAGACAGCAGGTGCTCTTCAGGGACATGCAAGATGAGGAAAGCACCTGTTGTTGATTGTGTCTCAGCATCACCCACATAGACTTAGTACAGGTCAACGTGTTCAGGAATCAGTTGTGGAGATGGATATGAAAATTTTGCACTAGGAAAATGAGCTGGAATGTAACAACATAGAAAAATTTCCTGAAAGGCTAAGCAGTTTAGCTTCACAAAATAGATACTTTATGGAAGGTAGTCCTAGGAATGTAACTGAATGGGATACAAAAATGAAGATATAGCATTTGCATTGAAATCTATTTCTTTGAAATAATTACTCCTTTTTGAGTTAGACAAAACAAGGGGATTTTCTGACTCGATGAATTATAATGCTAACTTTCTTCCAATCTTGGCAGGAAGTCATTCATTTTATCATTCTTATTTGTTGTAAGATGTGATGTAAGATATAAGTTCCCACTCTTCTGTATTCCAACAATTTGTAGAAGAATTGTGACGATATAGAGCAGAGGTCAAAATTTGTGACATTGGGACAAATATAGCTTTCTAGTATTTTAATGACTACAAATGTATTTTTATAAACTGGAAATTTTATTAAAAATTAGATTCCCAAATTACATTGAAAATCTGGAATATTTTGATATTTGTTTTGTCTTTAAAATATTTTTAAACATAAAAGTTGTATACACTGTTGGTAAAATAAAAATCAAATAGTACAGAAAACCATAAGGAAATGTTTTTGATCCCAGTTTCATTTTCACATTTTATTACATATTCTTCCATAAATGTAGATGAATGTACATGTGAAATATATAGTTGAATCATGATAAACATATTTTTCTATGCATAGATACTTTTCATTTCTTATTTTAACAATTCTCTTCAATTTTATAAGCTTATATTACTTGAATTGCTTTATGGTTTCTTTTATTCCATTTTTTATTGTCATTGCTTTAGTATTTTTAAATTAAGCTATTTGATAAAATTTCCTTTTCTCCTCTCCTACTTAGATTATTTTATTATATACACTTCAAATGCTGTCCGTATAATCTTGACAATGTGTTCTCGCAGTGGTAGAGGGCATTGGGCTTCATAGCACCAAGGATGGATTGGGGCTTTCCAGCCACCTCTGTGAATACCATGCTACCTTCTTCCCAGATGATCTATCATTCCTTTAAGTGGCCATCCAAAAGTTTTATTCTGGCATTTTTTTTTTTCTGAAAACTCACAGGTAATAATCATTTTTGGAGAAATAATTGTCCTTTTCTTGACAAAAGACTAAATATCTTTAGCAAGATTGACATCATTTGACCTCTTCTGACCACTTAAGGAGTGAAAGTGAAGAGCCAAGTCTAGAATTCAGGTCTTCTAACCTCTAGTCTGATTTTTTTTTTTTTTTAATCTGGTGTATTGAGTTCAAGGAATTTAGGGGCTGATTAAGCAAAAAGATGTGACCATGAGGTGGCAGTAGCACACAACAAGCATTACTTGGGTGGTACTTTGGTGATTTTGTCAATGGCGGAGGTCCCTTATTGCAGGATGATTTCCAAAGGCAACAATTGGGGGGCACCAATCTGAAGGAGAGGGAAGCAAAAGGAACTTCTGGGAAGAGAAGGTTTGGAGAAGGAGGCATCAATCTAGAGGATTTTGCTCAGCAGCATGATGGAGAGTCTCTGGGTAGGAAAGCTTTGAAGGGCAGCAGAAGCTTGGGGTCTATTACAGACCCACGGTTTATCTTATCTGTGGTTAGCAGATGTTAGGTGCTATTTTGTGGGGTAGTACAAAGCTGGCAGGCTCTAAATGGCCAAAAATCTACTTATTTGGACCACATTTGAAACAATTGGATTTGTAAAAATGTGGATTTCTTGCCAGTGGGCCTTGGAGATAATGGTTCCACCCTGCTGTGAAGAAGTAAACCACTGTAGGACCGATGTGTGGAGACCATCTTATATAACAACTAGGCCTCACTGGTTTTGTTTATGTATGCGTGTTTTGTCATTATAACATAATCCAAGTCTAGAGAAAATATATACATACATGCTTGTACATACACATATGTACAAATATGCATACAATATAGACACATATAATGGATAGCATATACATACCATCTGGATTTGTTAACCTTATAATTTTGTCATAATTGCTCCAATTTTTTTTTTAAAGGACTACATTACTAGAGTTGAATTCCTCTATACCCCTTCCTAAAATGATTTTCTTCCTTGCCTTCTTCAGAGGGCCCTCCCATATGTGCTTAGATTCATATCCTAAGTAAATATCATTTTAAAACAATGTATAAAATTATTTTGTGATGATTTAAAGCTTTATATAAATAATATCATACTGTAATAGCCATCTGCACTCTGCTTACAATTTTTGAATTGATTGAAATGTATTCAATTGTTACTTGCAGATCACATTTATTTACTGTTGCTGCAAAATAATATTTTACTGTATGACTAGAAGATGATTTAACCAATTTCATATTAATGGCTATTTAATTTGTTTCCACCTTTTCATTTTGTAAATGATGCTATAGAGAATATTTCTGAACATGTCTTCTTATGCAAATGTTACTACTTGACTATTTCATTGAGAGATTCTGGAAGTAAATCAGCAAATAATTCCCAAATACCCTATTTGCACAAGTCTAGAGTTATATCAAAATTAGGTATAATTTCTATTTTGATAAATTTAAACTCTTAGTTTATAAGCTTTGTGTATACTTACAAATAAGAATCTACTATTTGGTAGTGTTTATCTCACCTGTCATTTTACTAAGTTTATGTGTGTTTCTAAGACAGATATATTATTAATGTCATTGCTTGATTATTTTCTCCAATACTTGGTTTTGGTAATCCTCCAGGATGCGAGGCAGATGTGACTGTCTGAATTACAGTTTTGTCTTTAGGAGAACATTGTGTTAAAAAGCTTCCCTGAATTCCTAATGCTGTCACTTGCTCAGTTAATGATTTATTAAATACATCAGAGCGATTAGAAAAATGAGATTTTTAAAAAATGTTTTCCACTACAGCTCAAGTAATTTAAATCACTCTTCTAAGAGATGTGTGTTGGAAGAAGTCATAAGTGGCAGGCACGTGACATAGTGAGGATAATAATCAGTGTAAGCAGATAACTTCTAATGGGAAATATATACATCATTTTGGAACTGCATTTCAAATCACTTGTTTTTCCAGCATTATTGTATGCAAAAAACACATAGAAAGTGGTTAGCTGAAACAGGTAGTTTGGAAATATTTTTAACATTTTTATCTAAACAAATGACAGATTTTTTAAAAATGAAAAATGCTAAGTATAATAAAAGTGTATATTTATGCTCTTGGCAGCCAAATGTGCTTTTTAATGGAATTTAAATAAATGGATTTTTTATGACAAAAAAAGCAACAGTAAAAGCAGTGATTATGTTTTTCATAGTTCATTTGCCTTCTTTGCCCTGCAGACCTTGTGTGGAGGAAAATGAGATCCTGAGTGAAGTCTACAATGTCATTGACTCTGAAGAAGGACTCAGAGACCCATTGGTGTTTAATGACCCTTACTGGCCTATGCAATGGAAACTGGTATGATCTTCACAAATAGATAGTTCTTTGGCAATGTTAAGAAATATTATTTTTGTCATGTTTTAATGCAGTAGACAGGCACTTTTATGCACTGTCTGCCTTTATCTATTGGTTTTGCAGAGAGAGACTTAGCAAACTTTTAATGAAATATTACTGCTATCTTATTAATGAGCACTAATCCTTTTAATTTGATTACATCCTTAGGTTTTGATTTAGTCTATAAAAGACATCAGTAAAAACCCCAAGATATTTAAATTTGGTGTGTGTAAACAGGCGATTACATAGAAATGTTATTGCCATTCAGGCTTGAGGTTTTTGTTCTTGCATAACTTAGAATATATTCTGTATTACCTCAATACTGAGAGAACTTGCCTTTATGGAATAAGTGGATGTTAGAACATTGCACAACAGACTTTTTTCATAATGCTTATTTTGTTGGACCTTTTAGTATCACATTGCCCTCCCACTTGTATAGGACTGTAATAATGAAAAGGTTTGAGAAAGGCAACCTTAATTTTGAGTGTAAATAAGTTAAATATATTGATATACATACCATGGAGAACTTTAAAAGGAAACATTTGATACGTGACAAGAACTTGGTGATATTATTGGAGAGAAATTTAAGACCTTATTATATGCATACTTAGTTCTTCATAGGTCTGTATTGTGTTGTAGAGTCCAATGTTGCAAAATGATAAAAAGGTTAGGTGCAATTTATCTTTTTAAGGGCCATGATGTGATAAAATATGGGAAATGGTTGTTCTGGCCCTTTTATATTGATCATTGGCAGTTACCAAACCGACTGTCTGACATGAGCTGAAAACTAATGTTGAAAAAATGTCCAGTTCCATTTTCTGTAGCTTCAACTCATCCTTCAAAGACAAAATGATTTAGAACACTTTAAGTTACTTATATAGCTAAATTTGACATTTCAAAACAAACAACCAAACAAACAAGCAAAAACTCAAGCAGAAAATCATGGAGCACTAGTTCAATTACCTGGAGGTGATGTAATCAGTAACAAGTGAGTGAACTAGAGTTAATCAGGATTATGAATGTCAAAGAGAAAAAGAGTGATATTAAGAAAAAGGACTGAGGAAAGGTAGTAGATAAGGAAGGAGGGCATGAAATTAAAAAAAAAAAAAAGCTTTCCTTTTTTTTCTTTACCTGAAGAAACAGCAAAAATTAAGATGAGTACTTGAAGATTACATATATGAAACACTGTAGTCTCCTCAGAAGGAATACTTTCTTGTATTGACGATAAAATGACAAGCCGCTCTATATTGAGGTCAAGAATTTCAACAGACACAAGGAAAGGAGATGGAAGGCAAGTAATACAGGAAAGAAGAGAAGAATTGAGTAGCAAGCAGTCAATAAAATGACAGGGATTAGAAATGGAGACAAGTCTTAGGTGCTATTAAGCAATAGATCCTCTTAAAAGCAGCATAGAAGAGATCATGAAGGGAAAAAGCAGAAAAAAAAAAAAGAAGCTGTATTATGACTCTATCATTTTCTAGGGCAGGAGTTGATAAACCTCTTCTGTAAAAGTTCAGATAGTATATATTCAGGCTTTGTGGGCCACATAATTGCCTGAAGCATATTCTTTTTGTTTCTTTATTTCAGGTTTTTAAAATGTAAAAACTCTCTTCATTTAGGGCCATGTGAAAACAGGTTATAGGCTTGATTTTACTCACCGGCCATAGTTTACTGACACCAATAGGGAGCAGGAGCTATGGATAAATGAGAAGTCAGGAAGAAAGCAGCCATTCAAATGTAGGCATTCGAGTGCTGTGCTGCGTTATACTCAGATTACACTAGTATAATTCAGAGATGAAAGATCTGGATTGTTATTATTTCCAGGTAGCACCATTCTAGAGGCATACCTACCATTATGGAAAAGATTCCTTTTAGTACCCAGGCAAGGCATGATACATAATTGCAAAGAAAGAGTTGCACTTTACAACTGGATGTTCTATCTAAAACATATTCATAACAACAGAACTAGGTTGTGTTGCAGAATCCATCCTCTCACTAGAATACCAACTTTGTTTCAATGAAAGACTGAGTGGCTCAGGGGGTTGTGCTGTTTTAGCAGGGAAATTTGAGGGCTTTTTCTCATCAGCGCCCCTTGAACATTCCCTTGCAGACATAGCCAGGGAATGGACATGCTATATACATGGGCCCAGCTCAAATTTGGAGGTTATCTTTCTAGGAGAGGAGGGAAGAATAGCTACAAGGAGACAAGTCTCTGCCAAACACGAATTTAAAAGCAAAACATTTTAAGCAAAATGTAAATAAATTCTGTAAATTTTGTAACTAGTGTTTGAGATACAGCATCAACAAAAGAAAAATACTAGTATAAAATAAAGGGATTTATGATGCTGTGGAATAAATTCTGAATTTCAATCTTTTATGAACATAATTAAAACAATTGTTCAATACAGTAAAAACTCATCTTATTTGCCATTATATGTCAAAATTTACCACAGTAAATGCCAGACATTCAATGTCCTGAAGTTTGAACAGAGTATTATTTATACAGGCTAATTTCATCATTTCTATAAAATATCAGACAAGAATGCATCTAAAACTATAAAATTGTTTTTCTATCCAATTCCACCATTATTATTTTCAATGAAAAATAATTTTATCATTATAAAACTACCTGCAGATAGCTATGGCATTTTTTTTCCCTTTTTTAAATTGCATTTTAGGTTTGTGGGTACATGTGAAGAACATACAAGATTGTTCATAGGTACACACATGGCAGTGTGATTTGCTGCCTTCCTCCCCTTCACCTATATCTGGCATTTCTCCCCATGCTATCTCTCCCCAACTCCCCACCCTCCACTGTCCCTCCTCTATTTCCCCCCAACAGACCCCAGTGTGTAGTGCTCCCCTCCCTGTGTCCACATGTTCTCACTGTTCAACACCTGCCGATGAATGAGAACATGTGGTGTTTGATTTTCTGCTCTTGTGTCAGTTTGCTGAGAATGATGGTTTCCAGGTTCACCCATGTCCCTACAAAGGACACAAACTCATCGTTTTTGATGGCTGCATAATATTCCATGGTGTATATGTGCCACATTTTCCCTGTCCAGTCTATGATCGATGGGCATGTGGGTTGGTTCCAGGTCTTTGCTATTGTAAACAGTGCTGCAATGAACATTTGTGTGCATGTGTCCTTATAGTAGAACTATTTATAATCCTTTGGATATATACCCAGTAATGGGATTGCTGGGTCAAATGGAATTTCCATTTCTATGTCCTTAAGGAATTGCCATGCTGTCTTCCACAATGGTTGAACTAATTTACACTCCCACTAACAGTGTAAAAGTGTTCCTATTTCTCCACATCCTCTCCAGCATCTGTTGTCTCTAGATTTTTAAATGATCGAGCTGTGGCATTCTTTTGTTAAAGACTTGTAGAATTTTGATAGTGTAAGATAATATTTATTACTTTTTTGTCCATGTGTATTTTTCAGAACATGTTTCTTGAGAAATTCTAATCAGACTTTTAAATATCATTGTAGTTCTAAAGACCTGCATACAAATTTAATGCTGTTTCTGCCTAAAATTATGCTAAAGAGTAGCTCTTTGAGAATAATTTTAAGAAAATTTTGACTTAATGTTATATTTTCTGAAGTACAATATTCTAATGACAAGATTTTTAAGACCTTGTACAAGATTTTTGTGAACATAGTAAGGTATTACATCATGATGTCTGGAGTAAGTGTCCTAGAAGAGGAAGTAAAGCCTAAAAAAGAGAGGACTTTTTATTAGATAGGCAGGAATAACAGAACCTATTTTGACAAATGCTCAAAGCTCCAAAGATATGAGTGAGAAAAGTTATAGGAATATAGATTTTTAGAAAGAATATTTCCTGCTTTAATTTTTGATTCAGAAATAAATTTTGGCAAAAAGAAGTGTTGAATCTGCACATGCCTTATTTTACTTGTAAAACAATAGGGCCGAGTTGACAATGTAAATCATTATCAATAGAAGGTATCAGGACCCTTCCACTCTTGGAGACCAGTGTTTGCCAGCCAGGACTCCTTCCCTTCCCCATACCTGTGTGGACTCTCGTGGCAGAGGTCACAGGGCCAGGGTAGGGGCAATGTAGAGACAAGTTCAGCCTGTGAGTTTAAAAAAAAAAAGAAAATATTTAATTTCTTAAAAATGGACTTTATCTTTTGAAGAAGTTTTAGGTTTATAGCTAAATTGAGTGGAAGGTACAGAGACTTCCCACATATCCTTCCGAGAACACATGCACAGCCACCCCCACGCTGACCCCTTATCAGCATCCTCTAACAGAGTGGTACTTTTGTTATGAATGATAAACTTACACTGATGTTTGATCATTTTAATATGGCCTTTTAGGTTAAAAATGTTGAAATTAAAATAACTGTTGCTATGACCTGGTATATTAGAAGAAATGTAGGCTTTAGGGTTTTACGAGTATGAATTCAAATCCTGGGTCTGTAACTCCAGACTGTGCCATCATTAACATTTTAATCTTTCTAAAAATCTGTGAAGTAAGTATGATGAAAGTTACTTCACAGGATTGTTCTTGGAATTAAATGAGATTCTGGAGAAAAAGCACCTGTCACCCTGTGTTTGACATGGGGTAAGCATTCAGTGTATAACTTGATAGCTAGCCAGATTTTGTTCCTACCTATGATGTGTTAAACGTTGATTACATGGAAAATAAACTATGCTGACTTCTCCTTTCTCAATAACACTAGACGACTAAAGCAGTAGTAGTGCAGGTTATTAATAATTCTTTGTTATATAATGGGAATCATGCCTATGTCAGTGGTCTCTAAAGAAGGGCTTACCCCTCCAAAGAAGGGCTTGCTCCATGAAAGTTTGCACAAACAGTTGCATTGGTATGTGGGGAAAAATGTGAGAACTTCCATTTATATTTATTTTTATCTTTTAAAATTTTTAATTTTTGATTCTATTAAAATTAATAGTATATAGATGTATGCATCATTTGTA